TGCGAAGTGGACAAAACAGAGGCGCTGCATCTTTATATATATATATATGTATGTTGTATAGTATTTTTAAAATCATTGCTCTGGACTCTAGACATTGCAACTATTCTGACTAGTGCTGGACCTCACACCTCCTCAAGTCCAGTCATGCTTAGCATGTTAGGCTGAGGTAAATTGAAAGAAAACAATACTAGACGAATGAATGAGCATGCCACAGCGCGATGCTGTTTGCTTCGCCATCCACCTACCGGCAGGGCAAGAATAGCTTGTATGACAAAACGGTGGCAAGGACATGACTTTGCAATGGCTCTACCCAGAACATGGGCTGGTATTTTTTTCATTTTGCTCAACGGGGCTTTTGTTTGGGTGCTCAGGTCTACACCTACAAATACCTCATGCAGGCCCGGATTCGGGGAAAGCACCGCTCTTCGCCTGTTTGGCCCTTTTGCTCGACAAACGCTTCTCCCGTTGGCACCATCTGAAGCCTCTTGGTGTGGCCCAACGGCACTTGTTGACACGTCTGGGGTCTCTCAAGACCAACGCAGCCAGGCGGCCAGCAAAGAGGACCGTGGGCCAGAGCGCTGGTTCCGCAGCTCCCTGGCTGCGGGCATCCACCCAGTAGGGCAGCCTGGCTCGGTGAAGGGCTTTGGAGGATCCGGTCCCAGAAAGACATACGACCGGATCCTTCTCAGTGGCAACAATCGTTTCACCAAGGTTGTGGATGGTTGCATCGATACAAACATGATAACAATGAACTCTGATCACTTTTTAATTTGTGACAGTGACACTGGTAATTTGACAGGAAGAATGGGACCACATTATGAGATGCCAACATCCTCTGGACATCTACTTCCCTTCTGTGCAAGTTGACCTTCGGCTTGCAGGATGTCGTCACCTTCAACACCCTTATCAATGCAGCTGCCAAGAAGGCACAAGAAAGGGATACCAACAGTTTCAAGCATTCACTCTGCGGGCAAAGTCTTGTAGATATTGCAAGCAAGATGCCTTCACAAATCACGAAAGAACGACAACTAAAGGACACAGTACACAAGTAGATAATAGTAGATATACATACATGATCATAATCATACATGACTGTTGCTGATTCAAACCTGGCAAGCTGCAGAGAGTCTGACGGAAGGGCAACCTGGATGAAGCCGTGAGCTGGTTCCACATGGCGCTTTCCATGTCGGTCCGTTGGCATCCCAGAGAACGTGTCGGGGGATGCTCTCGCATGGCATTTCGTAGTGTCAACTTCTACTGTTTTGTTTTGATGGTTTCGACGACTGTCGGGTGTTTTCCACTGCCTCAGAGGACTCGAATTCACCAAGGCCCGGACATGTTGACCTATAACATGGTCCTGGCTGCTGCTGCACAGGTGCGCCCCTCGCCGCCTCGGATAGGCCCAGTTCTCTCTGCCAGCACGCGTGCTGTTGAGGTGGGTCACATCAAACAGCGTCAAGTGTTTGGATTGGATTCTCAATTTGCACGGATGGGGACCGGTGTAAATATGTTGTGTGAACTGTAGACAACAACAGGATATGAAAATTACATACAGTAAGAAACCTTGTGGAGCTTCCCCCATGATGCAATTTGGAGGCTGGCGATGGCAACGCTGCACAGAAGTGGTTCAACAAGATGCAAGAGGACGCCTGACATCATATCACTTGTTTGCACTCCTTGGCGTAGATTTATACTATAGGTTCCCCTTCGTCTTGCTTTGCCAGTTTGAGCAAGATTCAAAGCCTAGCGAGACTGAATGGCCCTTGCCGTAGAAAAGACAGTCAAGATCGCCTCTGTTTGTTGTTGATTGTTGAAGAAGCAGGATGATGCAGTTGACTACTACACAAGCAGATATATACACAGACATTCATTTAGCTCGATCTTTTTCTCGCGTCTCGATCTCAACTCTTGTTCTATTTTTCATGGAGGAACACTTCCTTCGGTACCCGCACGTCGGCATGAAGCTGATTGAAACTGCAAATTGTACACATCATTGCCAACGACAGATTTGGTCGTTGACTCCTTCCCCTTTTCCCATATGCTCTTAGCTAGTGTGTCACTTCAGACTGACCAACTTCCAGGATCTGAATGCCATGGAAGTACTGAATGTTTACAACATTACCTTTCTCCGATTCTTAACCCAAGAGTTTCCACACGGAAGTCGGGAGGCGTGGCGTCCGACCGTCCTCCATCCCGTGGGGGTGTGTCGCGAAGGATGGATTTCTGCCAGACATCGTTTCTTACAATTCTTTTATGAAGGCGGGGAGAGCCTCTCCGGAGCGACTTCCTTGGTGTCCAACGCCCGCCATTTCCACCTGATGGGGTGATTCGACGATGTGCAGGAACAAATTACATAAATGAAGTATAGGCCTCTTGCCATCCCTGCTTGACAGGATAATTCTTGGCAGACAAGAACACCAACTCAAGGAGCATGCTTGGAGCCTTCAAAACCCCCCCCCCCCTCTCTCTCTCTCTCTCTCTCTCTCTTCTCTTGGATCTTTCTTGTAGCTTCGGGAAGAGAGCCTCCACGAGCGACCGCCTGCTCGAGCTAGGCCTTGATGAAGTCTGCTCGGACTCGGGATGTCGAGGAAGCCAAGTCCGTGATGCGGAGCTGCAGGGAGATTCAGGGAATGAGCATCAGAACCCTGTAGTCCGGGCTACCCTCCACGTGCCCTGCATGAATGAATTCGAATGAAAATGGACCACCACTTCTTGTCCCTGACCAAGAGCTTACAGGAAATGTACGTCTATCGACTGTGTTGCATGCGAGTTGATTTTTCTATCGTGTTTGGATTGTATGGCTAGTCATGCTTTTACATGCAACGTTGCAAGTTAGTGCACTACGCTACTCTGCCTAATCTGCTATCACAGAGTCCCTGGCCGAGAAAGGGATTCTGTGGCAGCCAAGCAACACCAAGTAGCCGCTTGTTATTTGGGGGTCATTTTCAATGGTTCACACGGCAGATGCGCACGGATTTTACTCGATCCCAGAGCACCCAATCTTCTTGCATTCGCTTCTGGCCGCCTCAATGGCTTTTGCCCACCAGGAGCTTTTCTGGAAGATGAAGGTGCCTTTCTTCTGGGCAAGGAGCTTTTACATGCTTTACTACTTTTACTCTAGGTGGTCCATGTACAGTAGAGGTGGGTTGGCACATGAAGATGTGCAATGTGCAAGGTTTCCAATTTCCTGCAAGTACCTAAGCATGAGCCCGATGGGCAAAATCTTCTCAGACTAGGTATGTTCGATCGTCGTTTCGTTATGCTTTACCTGGCAGAGTTTGTTCAGCGATCCCAAGCTCACAGCATGCTCGCATGCCGCCAAGCTTAGCATTCTGAGGCCGGTAGACTCTGATAGAAGGTAACATATAGACACGTCAAAACATCCTGTAACATCCTCACGGATAGAAAACGCCTCAAGGCTTTGGCATGGTTGGGGCGTCACAGGATGTCACAGGAAGCTTTGGGAAAGACCTTCTCTTACCGAAGGCGCCCGGGTTTTAAAGCGCGTCACGGCTCCTCCAGTCCAGGCGGCTTCGGTGAGCCCGGACGTTGTGACCATCAAGACCATGCGCTGGGAACTGAGAGGGAACTGCCATGTCAAAGTCTTCTTCTCGGAATGGGTGCATGGATGTGCAATGATGTGCATGTAGGGCAGTAGGGACCTGGTTTCAACACCTGAAGTACCTGGTGGGACACCACATGGGTGGGCGACTTGAACATCTGGCCACAGCTCGATCTGCACAGCACGAGGTTGGGCCCTGGGCCGTCAACGTGTCAAGGACGGTCAAGGGAGCCGGGACGTCACCGGGACTGAACCCAAAGAGACGGATGGAGAATTTGGGCGGCGCGGAGTGTGCCGGTTCTGCACAACGCGGCTGTGCGGGCTCATCGGATTCGAATCAGCTTTCAACAATGCATCACCAGGTCAACCAGACCAGGAGCCAGGAGATTTTCAAGTTTAAGACAGTTTAAGGTCATGTTTGGAACTTTAGAGGCTGCTGGTTCTTTGAGACATTCAGAACACTTTGGAGCATCCAATTTTGATCGCCATGGGCTTTTGCAAGAAATGCTGCTGCTGCATGTGCTGTCCTGTTTGCTTCTTCCTTGGCCGCTTTGATCGCCAGGGGCTTCTGTCGTTTTTGAATCGCTCAGCACAGTTTGGTAAAGACATGTAAAGACGGCGAAGATATTGGGTAGCGGGGTTAAGTTGTTTGGGTGACTTTCTGCGACTGTCCAGGTGACAGGTGACTAAACCTCGGCACTTGTGCTGAGTGGATTGGAGACCCATTTTCCCGAAGAGCATTGGATTGGATCTGCTTCCCATATTCTTCCCACTGGCTTGGATAGTCTTAGAATAGTGCTTATAGTGCCTTCCAGAAGGCGATTCGCTGCAATTGGGCCTACTTTCTGAGCAAACATGACCTCGGTGTATTATGATGTATTAGGACTTTTCCATTGAGCTCGCAGGAGGTGCGCATTTTGATTTTCCATTTTGCAGCCACTTGCAGCCACTTGCAAGTGGCTGCAAGTGACTGCTACTTCTGTCTAGTATATAATGATTTCTCCACACGCAGTTCTGAAGAAAACCAAGATTTCTGCAATGCTGTTCTGCGAAGAAATTCCGGTTTTCTCCCGAGCTGCGCGCGGAGAAATCATGAAATAATCCAAGACTTTTCCGAGAATATAATTCAAACTTCTGCAGAGCTAGCGACGAAGAACTCTTAATTACAGTTTTACATAAAGAACTCAAAGTACAGTGTTGAAATTTACTTGCTTGAGTGACAAGTGGCTGCCAAGTGGCAACCTGAGCAAGTGGCTGCAAGTGACTGCAAAACCAAAAATCAAAATGTACGGCATTTGCTCCCTCTCTGGACTTTTCCACGGTGTAGACATTGCCATCTAATATCATCCACTTAGCTGGACATGCCATGTACCTGGTGTGTTAAAGGGATTCCCAACCATTTGCACCTTTCTCAAGGTGCCTTCAATGCCTTTGCTTTGCTGGGAGCCCTGCTCGTGCTGCTGGTGGCGCTAGCCTTTGGCCCAGCACCCTTGGACCTCCCCGACGAAGTGGCAGACCTCTGTGAAGCGGTCGCCTGGTTTCGGGACACCGAGCTGTCTTACACGGTGGCGAGCACCGACAACTTGGACCTTTGGGTCAAGGCTGGAGACGGTCGCTGGGGAACAGTTTGGGAAGGGCCCGTTCATGAGGTTGACCTGACCTGCATCGGCCACGAAGGAATACTACACCATGCTACTGTACACCGTGCTACGCCACGAAGTCCACTACCTCTCAAATTTTTCACAGCTTTGCTGCAAGGCCTTCCGCAAGGATTGCAGCAAAAGCATCACCTTAAGCCTCCAAGCATCGTTTTTTGCACCTGTCCTCGACATCTCAAGACCTTGAAGTTTTTATCGACGGTTCGACCTGTCCCTCTCCAGGGTTGCCGGGCAGCCTTTCTGGAGATGGAACCGGAGGCGCAAGAACTCCTGCGGGGCATCCAGAAGAGTGGGCGCCATCGAACCAATGAAATGCTACAGGAGTTCCTTGGACAGAAGTTTTTTCCCCCCGAAGGGGCCGTGGCTACTAGGAGCAAGGACCTTCTAGTAACAAGGTGCCTTACTACTAGTAACAAGAAGCTAAGAATGGGTGAATCTCATTAGGCACGTGGCGAACCAGGGGGGAACTTACCGTACCTCTCAGCATCTCTTAGCTATCAGTAAACAGTGATACTCGTGGGTAAAGTGATTCTTTTCCTTTGTGACCAGGACCAGGATTGTTTGACACCTTTATTCTCACTACAAGCTCACCTCTATTGCAGGCCGATTGATGAACTCCAAGTTAGGAGCCACAGACATAAAGGACCAAGGCGTTTGCTGTCACACCAAGGCCAGGCATTGAAGAGCGAACGCGAGGCTGGAAGAACAGCACACTCTATGCTGTGCCTTGGCCCAAGGTTTGCTTTGGTCAAAGAATCCCATCCGGAAGCTTCGTGAGTGGACCGCATCCGAGGTGGATGCCGGCCTGCTGGAGGAAGCGCCTCCGCCACCCTTCGTGGAGATTTCGGAGATCCGGAAGGCGCGCCCGCGAAGATGTTCTGGGATGTTCTGGGACCGATTCGTCTCCACCGTTTGGAGTGTGAGTTACTTGGACCAATCCTTTCTCATTGATGTTGTTTGGGTGCACAAGTTGTGCACGCGTCACAAGTCGAGCCACCAACCCGCTTGTTGCGTTCTGACGGTTACACATGGCCTATCCTGCTGGTGTTTCTTCATTGCATCCTTCCTTGTTTGTCCTTGGCTGTTTGTTGCTTTTGTATTCTGGCTTGATTCTGTTTGTCACACAAGGAAAAGAACACTGACCAAAGCTTGAACATGCCAAGACAAAGTATATATTCACACTTGCATGTAGCTTGCGGGTGCAAGCTTTATGTTCACGGAAGTTCACAAAATGTCCCACCGGGACATTTTGGCTCAAGTTGGTGGGAATCGCCCATTGGATTCCACCTGAACTTTGGAAGAAAAACTCCCCAGTACATCGGTTCTTGTTGACGACGACGCAATGGCGCACCCGATGGAAGCGGAGTACGTGATGATTGAGTCGGTTAGAGATGCCCAGCCAGACGTTGAGGATGTGGCTACAATCAGTAGCCCGGGCATGGCGAGTTTGGATCAGGCAGCTGACGCTGCGTCTGCAGCCCTCCGTCATGCGGAGGCGGAAGGAGCTAGGGCCTGGCCGTTTTTGGCCAGCCCGTTTTGGTCTCAGAGCTGGACTCTCAGGAGCAGATTCGAGAGCTGGAGCGCCGCTTGCAGGAGCCCAAGGTCCAGATCGCCAATCGCGAAGATGCGGACATGGGCGTGGACCTTCTGGGGTTAGACGACAATGCTGACGGCGGCGCTGGCAGCCCCCCCTCTGCTCCTGGTGCCCCTGGCCCAGCGGTGAGGGGGGATGGATGCGGATATGGCAGCTGTGGCACCGACTTCGAGCGCCACTACACCCTCTGCGGCGGAGGCCCAACCTGCGCTGCTCTCAACCATGGCGGAACCTCCGATGGCCTGGCCTGTTTCGGCGGAGCCACGTGCAGCCGCACCCATGGAGCCGATGGACGATGACCACAGTGAGAGACCAGGCTTAGGTTTCACGCCCCCTGCACCGGCAGGGTACACGGTAGATCCGGTAGATGCCATGGCGACGATTACTACACCCTCTACACCGCCGGCGAAGGCACAAACACCGGAGCCCCAACCCCAAGCAAGAGGCCAGCTCCGCAGCCCATGGAGGAACCAACCTCCAAGACACCTACTTTGCCGGGATTCACGAGGGCCTCTGGAGCCACCCTGGGCGCGGTCCCTATGCCTATTAGGTTCATCCCGGTTCGGGAACCTGAGAACCACGTTCGGTTTGCCATGTTCGCGGACTCGTTTCCGGCCATTCCGGGCCACTTGGCGGGGCTCCTTACCTCGTGCACTGAGAAGGAGATGGTCCAGCTCTTCGACCAGTTCACGGGCTACCCCCTCTCTGAGCCGGTGGTCTCCCGCATCATTGAGCAGTACTCCCCCTGCGGGCATTGGCCATGCAGGAGAAGATCTGGACACAGAAGTACCAGAAGACCACGGACAAGTCCGGCCTGACGGAGGATAGAGGCCTCCACCAGCCTGCAGGAGACATGCCCCTCCACTCCATGTGTGGCAAATGCATGACGCCCTGGCCGGACAATGCGACCAGGTGCTGGACCTGCAAACACGACCAAGCCATCGAGTACCAGCGGCCCACATCCATCATGGAGGTGGGCGACGAGACCTGGACGCTGCTCTACGAGGCAGGCCGGCCGGTCTGGCGGCGAGCTGCTCCTGCCAAGTCTACCCCAGGTGCCCCTGGCCCTGAGGCGACTGGCGTGGACCCTGAGGTGGAGCGGCGCTTCAAGCTGCGACCAAAGGGGGCTACATGGGCCGATAAATTGCCAGGGCTTTTGGAAGGCCTCGCGGGGCGGCAGCCGCTTCCTGCAAATTACCGGCGAGCAGTGGGGCTCCCTGGCCTCCCTCCAGCTGGTTTTGGATGAACCACCGGAGGCGCTCTACAACAAGTGGATCAAGGAACGCATGGAGTTCTACAAGCGGGTGGAGCCCTGTGCAGCCGCCAGGGACGAGCGCCTTGAGCTGGTGGGTAAGATGAACCAGCGCATGCGGTTCAGCACCAGCAACAATCTTGGGTCTGTGTCGGATGCCATCTGGCAAGTCATCCTTTGCAACGAGGAGATGAGGGGCATCCGGGCGATCCAGCAGGTGGCCCAGAAGGTCACAGCAGCTGCCTGAGAGGCAGCCTAGTGAGGGAGGATGCCGCGGGTGACTCGGCTTAGACCGTTTTCGTTTCACCCCATTTTGCATCCGTTTTGAGCTCTCGCACATCCGTGCTTGGACTGAACTTGGCTTGTTTGTCATGCGGTGCTGTCTTAGGAGGGTTTTGATGAGTGCCCTCAAGCTTGCTGTTTTCGGATTGTTTGGATGTGTTTTTCCTTTGCTCCTCTTTCCTTTTTCTTTCCTTGCCCGATCGGAATTTCCCCCAGTCTTGGTGAATTTAGGCTTCTTTGGGAAGCTGGCTTAGGGGTGGCGGTATCTCGCCGCCATGAATTTTACTAGTGAGGCCTTCTTGAATCCGACACCCTACAGTCGCGCCTGGGAGTCGCTTCCCCGCCATATTTTCGATACCTTGGTGGACGAGGGATTTCCCCCCC